CCCTGGAAGCTGGGCCGCTGGCCCGCCTCCTCCGGAGAAGCGCGCCCTCAGAGAGGTCTCCATGGTGGCTCCCGCAGGGTTCCGGCTTCCAGTCCTCGCGGAGGGAGAAGTATGGCAACGTGTTCAAGACGCACTTGCTGGGGCGGCCGCTGATCCGCGTGACGGGCGCGGAGAACGTGCGCAAGATCCTCATGGGGGAGCACCACCTGGTGAGCACCGAGTGGCCGCGCAGCACGCGCATGCTTCTGGGCCCGAACACGGTGGCCAACTCCATTGGCGACATCCACCGCAACAAGCGCAAGGTAAGAGCCCGGCAACCCTGCTGACCCTCTTCTCCCGCGCACCCCTCCTGGGGTAAGGCGTTCCCGGAGCCCTGGGGACGTCTCCACCTCGTCTGTGCCCGGCTGGCACGCCCTCCTGGGGTTCCCTGCTGCGATGCGGAGCGAGGGCCTGCACAGGCCTTCGCTGGGTAGGCCCTCTTGCTGGCCCCCTGTTGGTCCAGCGGGTGGCTTTTTGAGGGGTAGTTTGGACAGAGCTTGGACGTGAGGGGATTGAGGCCTCTAACGCCAATCCTCACCGTGCTCCCCAAAACTGGAAGAAGAAAGGGGTAGACGGTGGCTCGGTCTCCCCTTCTTGCCATGGTTCCCCCGTGAATTCCGACGGGTCATTCTAAAATCAAACCTAGCCTGCCTGCCACAGGTTGCTTTCATAGCGACGCCAGCAGGAGCGGGGGCTGGGGGCACCCTGTGCGCAGCGGTTCCAGGGCTCTGTCTGGGAGCGGCGAGGTGAAACTGGGGCCACGACGCGCGCGGGTCTGGACAGTGGGGGCGGGACGAGGCGGATGGGAGAGCAGCGGAGGCGCGGCGGGGGATCAAAGCGCACCCACCCCCTCCCATAAAGGGGAAGAGAAAGTGGGTGTTTATCCTGTGGATTTCCCGAGCGCCTGCAAGAGGCGCGAAGGAGGAGAGCCAGCGCGACGCGAGCGAGCCTCCCCGCCCCCTCCCGGGGCTGACCCGCCGCCGCTGCAGCCGCCGCGGCTCGGAGCGCGGGCGGCACGTGCTGTTTGAACTGCAGTAACCCGAAAGCTGAGCCGCCGGCGGGCGGGGAGCGGGCTTGCGGGCTTGCGGGCTTAGGGCGTCCAGAAGCGGGTGGGGGGGACTGCACGACCTCTCCTCCTTCTCTCCCCCCACCCCCCCAATTGGGTCAGAGTACTCCGGTTTGAAACCTGAAGGAAACCGACTGGCAGCCTCTGGTCTCCGGGTAGAGTGGCAGAGCCCAGGAGAGGGGAGGGGGCGACTGTGGGCAGCCCCCCTCGGCCGGAAGTCTGCGTGTGAGGAGGTCTCAGGGAACGTAGGAATTCGCCTTATAGTATTTGATGTCTTCGGAAAGGCCTGTGAAGAGCAGTTCTCCATAGCAGACCAAAGGAGGAAAACCCGCGTGGAGTGGGCTGGTCTGCGCTCACCACCAGCGCCCCTCCTCCCATAAAACATGTATTTCAGGACAGGAAAGGGACTCCCGAAATGTTCTCTCCTATGGCCTCCCTAGAGCAGGAAGCCTTTAACAGGGCCCTGGTCACATTGGAGGGAAGGTGTTCTGGGGAGTGGCTGGGAGGGGGCTGTAGGCTCAGGAATGGGGGCTTTTCAAATATCTTTGACACTTTTTTTTCCTTAGTGTTTGTGGCTTCACCAAAAGCTCATCCCAAAGAATGTGGAGGGAGGCTGAGGCTCAGAAACCCAGCTCCAAAGAACTCGATTGCCTCTCCTTTTATCTTTATAGAGTCTTTGACAAGAAAGTAATTATTTTCCCCTTCACAGGGGGGAACACTGAGACGCACAGAGTTTGAGAGACTTCAGTCCAGGAGACATAGCAAAGGCAGGTGGAGTCCTGAACATTCCTCCATGGGAAGAGGTGTTTCCTTCCGGGCTACCAGGCAGAGCCCTACTCAGTCCTGCCCACCTGGGGCTGGCAGACGCTGGAGGGTGGGGATGGGAAGGGATCCTGGGAGGAAGAAGGCTTGGTCAAGACCTGAGTGTGAGCCCCTGGACATTCAGAGAGCTTCTGGGTGAGGCTGTTGCCTTGTGGAACCAGCCACCTTCTGCCTGACTTGGCCTTGGGCCTCCAGGTGGGGAGGGCCTGCCTGGAAGCCCCAAGGTTTTGGGCTCCTGTTGTTGATTTGGGAGGAGTGGAGGAGGAGCGAGATGGCGTAGATGACCAATGTCAGAGGAATACACAGGGAAGGGGGAGAGAGGGCTGTGGTGGGACAGGGCTGGGAGCAAAACTGAGGACCCCTTTGGGGTCTACACGGGGCATACGCTTGCCTTGCCCTCTAGCTCCCTGGGCATGGGGAGCAGCCATAATGAGGTTCATCCTGACACAGGCTTGGGAACCAATGCAGCACCCCCCCCCTTTGTGTGTACTAATTGTGTTCTTGCTGTGTGACATGTGTACACATGGTCCTACAGTAAGTGCGTGGATAATCTCTCTATTTGGTGTTCCTGAACTAAATAGAAGATTTGGGTTAGATACAGATATAAAGCAGGAAACCTGGTCCTTGCCCACAAAAAGCGGAGTGTAGCCGGAGGGATGAGAGCGGGATACTCAGGGGCACATGTTGGCCCTGGAGAGAATGGCCAATCTGCTGGACCCAACACCCAGTGGACACAGTGCAGCCAGGGCGGGGCTGCCGGGTACCACTCACTGCCTTCTCCAGCTCCCGCTGCAGTCAGGGACGTGCCTGGAGAGGGGGCTGCTGGGCCGGGCCCAGGCCTGGTTAGGATGCATTTGCAGGAAGCAAGGCCCAGGTGTGCTGGGGCCCAGCTGGCGGGTAAGTAGGAGCGTCACTGTTTCCACTGGGGCCGGTGACCCACTCCTCCTCTGGGAGGTCTGACCAGATGTTCTGGGAAGGGACTCCTCACGGCCATCACCGAGTCCAGGTATTAGCCCCAGCTGCCCAGGTTGTCTAGGGCCAAGAGGGGAGGGGTTGCCAGGGAGAAAGTTCGAAATGTCTTTCCCAGTCTAAAATAGTCCTCTCTGAAAGCCGGGCCTGTATCCCTACAGCCACCACCAAACTCTGTCCCTCCTCCTCTGCTACACTTCCCCCACCTGGAGTGCCCCTGCTGGACGGAGGAGGCGCCCCCCCCCCTTCTTTTGTGTGCAGAGAGGCTGGGGTTTGCCCCGGAAGGGTGGGTTGAGTCTGGTAGGAATGATTGGGGGCGGGGGTGGAATGGTCAGACATTTCCTCTTCCAGAGATAGGGCTGGGTCTCTGCACCAAGGGGCCAGAAGCTTCCGGGCACCTCAGACAATGGTCTTCCCAGAACTTAGAGGTGCACTTGGCCTGGGACCCCTGGACTGGGGAGGCCCAGGAGTAGTCTTCTTGCTTCTCCTTCCCAGATCCCTGGCTACAAGGACTTCTGTGGCGGAGGCTGAGGTGGGGCAAGGGCTCCCCAGGCTTTGGAGGGAGGGACTCTCACTCACCTTTTAGGCCCCATCCTGGGCGGGGGTGGAGCTTAGGCTCAGGGTCACTACTCCTCTTGGAAACCCTGTGCATTATGTGGGGATGGAGCAGCCAGGAGCTGCTTCCCCAGGCAGGCAGAGCCAGGAGGGCCGTGGTTGCAGGGTCCTGGGGGGAGGCCAGCCAGGCCTATCTCTTGGTGGCCTTGGACCAATGACTTCGAAGTCATTTCCAGGAGGCTCAGCTCAGAGCAGAAGTTCCCACCTGCTTTGAATGGGAAGTAGGGAGGCAGGCACCTCTATTATTGGGAGGGCCTCCTGGCATAGGTCTTTG